CACTCTTTTTTAACTGAATTTTCTTGTTCCCTCTCAGGAAAAAGATCACAACAGTGAAGATGAGGATGAAGACAAATATGCAGATGATATTGACATGCCAGGACAGAATTTTGACTCTAAGAGACGAATTACTGTCCGGAATCTCAGGATTCGTGAAGATATTGCAAAAGTAAGCCTTGCCAACCTAATATACGTATTTGAAAAATACTGTTTTCCCAGCCGAAACTGTATCTGTTCATATTGTTCATACTGTTCATATCTGGGTATTAACTGGGTAATGTAGTCAAAGAATTTTGCCAAGATGGGATATCAGTCTGTTTTTTTTTTTTTTCTCTTCACCTATACCCTGGAAGTATACACACACATTTAAATGATCTTGATCAACTCTTCCTACCTGCTGAAATCTTGTTTGCTCTAAATAATTCATTATTTAAATACTTTTTCTCCTAGTACTTGAGAAATTTAGATCCAAATTCTGCCTACTATGATCCAAAAACTAGAGCAATGAGAGAGAATCCTTATGCCAACGCTGGAAAGAATCCAGATGAGTAAGTATCAAATTAATTTACAGATTTCAAGATAATGGAAAATTAATTATTTTCTGACACAACTATAGATGGTGCTCATTTTAATTTAGAATCAATTTTATGAATTAACATTCCTTAAAACAATCCCTGAAACGGGTTTTTTGTTTGTATTTACAGAGTGAGTTATGCAGGAGATAACTTTGTTAGATACACAGGAGATACCATCTCAATGGCTCAGACACAGTGTAAGTGTTTGTTGTATGCCAAGGCATTTTATATGAGCTCCTAAGAAATTGAGGGTGGTGTTTTAAAGCTTGCTTTAAAGAAACATGAAATAAGGGGCTGGGGATATTACTCACTGGTAAAGTGCTTACCTAGCATGTGCAAGGCCCTGGGTTCATTCCCCAGCACCAGAAAAGAAAATAAATATGCAATAAATGTAGCTGGCAACTCATTTATGGTGCTTTGAATTATTCTAGTGTTTGCTTGGGAAGCCTATGACAAAGGATCTGAAGTGCATCTACAGGCAGATCCTACAAAACTAGAGCTGTTGTATAAGTCCTTCAAAGTCAAAAAGGAAGACTTCAAAGAACAGCAAAAAGAAAGCATCCTAGAAAAGGTAATTTTGACCAAAATGCTAAAGAGCTTAAGCATCCTTAAAGAGATGTTACTAATTAATAAGTATTCATTTTTATATTTGGAATATGATACGAAGAGAGCATTCAAGAAGTTCCTTTCAATCCATGAAAAATAGAGTCCTTTCCTTACATTCACTTGGAACAGACTTTCTGTTTCAGTAAACTTTTGCAGCAAAACATGCCATCCAAAACTTAGTAGCTTAAAATAAACTCGCTCCAGTGCACAAGAGCCTTTGCTTCACATTTGCCAACTTCCCATCACCAAGAGTAATATGGCCAAGCCCAAATTTAAGGAATAGAGATACAGATTTCATCTCTTGATGAAAGGACCAGCAAAGTCATGAGGCCAGGAGCATGCCTATACCGATAAGAGGGACTTATGGCCATCTTGTGATCTACCAGCGTTAACAGATGAGAAGAACCAAAATGCCTTTTATTTGCTTGTGAAAACTTGGAGGCTTTTTTTTTCACTGTTCTCTATAACAAACCTAGGAAAGGATGCTCATTTAATCTTTCTGGTTGAAAAATAAACCCTTCCAGAGTATTGTACGCAAACTTTGTGTACATGTATTTAATAATGTCCAATGTTCTTTTAGTATGGTGGCCAAGAACACTTGGATGCTCCTCCAGCTGAATTGCTTTTAGCCCAGACCGAAGACTATGTAGAATACTCAAGACATGGTACAGTCATCAAAGGACAAGAGCGAGCTGTTGCCTGCTCCAAATATGAGGAGGATGTAAAGATCCACAACCATACAGTATGTATTAAACTAAACCATTTACCATAGTAGTTTTGCTATGGATTGCATTTTTCTATTATAACTTTATTTACTATCCATCACAATGCTCTTTGTCCTTTAACACTTACAGTGAGTTTTATGAAGTTTTTCCAAAAAATAGGAATAATATGAAAGAATACTACAATATTCACCTATATACCCATCTAGATTCAAAATTTTTTAACATGTTGTCAAATACTTTTGACTAGGTGTGTGTATATACTGATCACACACACACACACACACACACACACTGTATATTTGTAAATTTTTGAAACATTTGGAAATTGCAGCTATGACATTTCACACATTATTTTATTAGTTTATTTTCATATTGCATGTTCAAAGAAAATGACAAGTACTAAAGATAATATTGACATTTATTTACTACATATGGAGGTTAGTGATCCAATAAAGGCTATTAGTTGTATTCTGTTTTGCCACCTTTATTATGAAAAATTTGAGACATACATAAAATCTGAAAGAATCTTATAAGCATTCCTACAGGCTACAAAAGCTCATCTTCTTTTTTAAAAACACATTTCACAATATGCTAAAGATATTAGTAGACTTTGTTTGAGTCTCTCCTGTTTATTGATTTTATTGATTATTTCCCTTATCATATTTAGTTCTTAAATCACTTCTTAAAAGATATACACAGAAGTGCTTTTTTTTTTTTCTTTAAGAGAGAGGGAATTTTTACATTTATTTTTTAGTTTTTGGCAGACACAACATCTTTGTTTATATGTGGTGTTGAGGATCGAACCCAGGCTGCACGCATGCCAGGCGAGCGTGCTATCGCTTGAGCCACATCCCCTGCCCCACAGAAGTGCTTTTAATAGCTATTTTAGTCAGAATCTAGTTGAAGTTTGTTTTATTATTTGACTGTTATGTCTTATTCTAGAGTCTTTCTGTTTTCTTGACAATGACCAGATCAAGTCAACTTACCAGATCTAGCCAATTATCATGTAAACTGACTCATATTCTATATTTTGACTGTTTGTTAGTAGTATTATATAACATTCCTCGATTCTCTGTCTATCCTGTAAATAAGAATTCAGGTCCAAAAGCTTGATTTATATATAAGTTAAATGTTTTGACAAGAATATGTAATAGATTATGTAGTATATTTCATACTGCATTGCATAAAACATACATTGTCATTTGCTATATTTTTTTTTTTTTTTGGTACTGAGGATTGAACCTAGGGCATGCTAAGCACATGCTTTACCACTAACCTACACCCTTCAGACCTGTTTGTTGTACTCTTGAAATAACCAGACTATAATTTTGTCTCTAAGTCAGGGATCAAAAACCTAAATACCTGTAGCAGCTCAGGCCACTGAAGTGAGCCAGGCAAATTGTACAAACTGAACAACACATTCACTGTTGGCAATAGTAGCTTATTGCCAAGTGGGAATATAGGCCCGGAATTTCCCAGGCCTTAATTTTTACAGAAATTGTATATCCTAAATTTTTTCATAGACTTTTGAAAATTGAATTAAAGACCATTGTAACTGTAATGCTAGCTTCTCAGCACTTGAGATTGGCCTGCCCTCTGTTAGCCAGAAATCCCCCAAAATTTTTCCCAAATTACCTTTAAAAGGGCTGTCTTATCTTATCAACAGTATATGAAAATCCCTAAAGTAATATCTCCCTCTCTCCTCCCTCCCCCTTCCCCCTCTCTCTCTCTCTCTCTCTGCACAGCATATCTGGGGATCTTACTGGAAGGATGGCCGATGGGGATACAAATGCTGTCACTCTTTTTTCAAGTATTCCTATTGTACTGGAGAAGCTGGAAAGGATATTGTTGTAAGTAATTTTCTTCTTGTTTTTAAATATTTAAGACAGCCAAAGCTCTTAATTCAAACCCCACATAAAACATGTCCTCTCATGTTTCAGATTTTTTAACGTGTGTGTGTGTGTGTGTGTATGTATTGCTGGAGATTGAACCCAGGGCCTTGTTTATACGAGGCAAGCACTCTATCTACCAACAGAGCTATATCCCCAGCCTTTTACTTGTTCTTAAGTGATTGCTAATTATAACATTCAATCACATTACATTTGTTTTCCCACAGAATTCAGAAGAATGTATTATAAATGATGTAAGTGGAGAAGAATCTGTGAAAAAACCTCAAACCCTCATGGAAGTAAGTCTGTAATCATTTGTTCTAAATTTTTAAGTCCTGAAAGGAGGACTTTAAACTTGTACTACAGCTTTGTTTTCACCCTAATAGCACTAATTTTAATCTTCCCTTTCAGATGCATCAGGAAAAACTAAAAGAAGAGAAAAAGAAGAAGAAAAAGAAAAAGAAGAAGCACCGAAAGAGCAGCTCAGATAGTGAGGATGAAGAAAAGAAACATGAAAAATTGAAAAAGGTACTCCATTAAGTCCAAGTACAAAGTGATAAATAAGAGTATTCTTTATCTGAGGGACTTAGGAAATGGTCTAGTCCTGTTTGCAAGTTCATTTTAATAAATGAGGAAATGAGCCAAAGTCTGAGTTACATGCCCAGGTCATATTAATGGCGATTCTGTGGCTCTAGGTATTGCCACCTTCTTGGAATATTTGGTAAATATTACTTATTCACCAAAGAAATGTTCTTGGCAAAGTTGTTATTTTAGAGTTATTGGCATATTGCCCAGAATGAATTGCCTTCTGGTTCCATCATGTGTAAGTTTCAGCAAGTCCTGGAGAAAAATTGGACTTACACTCTCTGCCAGAAGCATCAGCTGTGGTCTTTTGAGAAAAATGAGCCCTGTTCAATTTTTATTATAAATATAATTTCTTCAACATTGATTTAAAATGTCATAGAATGTTTTGTGCTCTATGAAAATGTCATATGAGCCAAATACTGATTAGTTGTAGCTTCACAGTGGAAGAGTTGACTCCTAAGCCTTTTTTAGGTAATCTATGTTTTATATATAGCTCTTCAGATTCAGTGGGGTCTTGGGTACTTTGCCACTTTTGAACAAAAGAGATCTGACATAGCACTGTGGTAGTAATTTTTTCCCTCTCACCTCAGGCACTGAATGCAGAGGAGGCCCGCCTTCTTCATGTTAAGGAGATCATGCAGGTTGATGAGAGGAAACGGCCTTACAATAGCATATATGAAACTCGGGAACCCACCGAAGAGGAAATGGAGGCCTACAGAATGAAACGGCAGAGGCCAGATGACCCCATGGCCTCTTTTCTTGGACAGTAACTAGTCGTAGAAATTCATCCAGGGTAGATTCAGCTGACATGGTCTTTTCAACTTCTTGCTCATGATTGTAGACTGGAAAAATCCTTGTCTACTCTTCTTTGCTGACTAACTGTAATAAAGCTTTCAGAAGTCCCAAAGTAAATTCATTCTTTTCCACACTGAAGAAGTGAAGAACTCAAACAGAAAGTACATTAAGTGTGGAGTAAGATTGGAAATAGTCTAATTTTTATATTAGTGATATGGAAAAACCTTCACTCTCTACTTACCAAGAATGTTTTGTACTTAACAGTTAAGTCTCAAACTATTTCCTGTTTGCAAGTTCATTTTAAAAATGAGGAAATGAGCCAAAGTCTGAGTTACATGCCCAGGTCATATTAATGGCGATTCTGTGGCTCTAGGTATTGTTACCTTCTTGGAATATTTGGTACATTTTTTTTGGCCTTCTGTCTAGTATTAGCACACACATTGAAAGTAGATTAGTTACTCTTTCTCAAAACTAGGGCTTCATTTTTTTTTTAATGACTAGCAATTACAGTTGTAATTTAACTCTGTTATTAGTTATTTTGTAATCACTTGTTTTTACCTTATCAGGTTTTCCTGGTCTGAAATGAAAAAAGTTATTTTTACCTTGGTCTTTGGGTCACTATTTTCTCATTCTTGAATCAATATAATAGTACTTTTACTACTATTGGAAAAATACTAGAAAAACATAGAAATTCTTTCATTTATCATAGTAGATATGGTTTGTAATATTTTGTTATTTATTATGCCTTTATGTAATGATCATGATATTAAGTTAGATTGTAAGAGAGTGCAGAATATCTGAGAGATACCTAATCTTCATAGCTAGCAGGTGTCACTTTGTAAAATTTACAGGGATCAAAATCTGAAGTTGGAGGTTTCTTCAGAGAATTGTAATGATAGCTTGTATGGATCTTAGTAACTGAGATCACTATGATCCCCAGGACACTTTATAAAAATAATGCTGATAGAGCAGAATCAGTGAAAACAGACTAAAATCCCTGACATAAATGCATCTACTTAACACCTTTCTAAACTACCAAAAAAGTGTGTAGTATACTGTGTTAAGTTGAAATCTCTTCTTAGTTCTAGAAGAACAGCTGAGTCAAATTAGCAAATACTAGGAATATACTTGGTGTCTAGATTCCAACTAATTGAAATTAAAATAGCAAGGCAGATCTTATTCTTAAGATAGTCAAAATTTTATTTTGCTACTCTTACGTTATTAGGGTGGTTCAACATCAAGTCTGACACTGGTGTCTGTCGTATTTTTTGTTAATAAAGGTATGTAATTAAGAACACTAAACTGAGTGGTTTGTAGTGTTATCTCAAATACTTGGTCGAGAAATGGGTTGTACTATTGGCAGGGAGTCTGAGCTAGTTTTATGAGTTCATATTAAGAAATTCCAGCATTCTAACATCCCACAGTCTTTAACAGCCTCCCCTAACTCTTCCCCTCAAATGAACCAGCCATGTGGAATGCTTCAAAGACTGACTAAACAAAAATAAACATTTCACTAAGTTTAAAAGAATTTTGGAAGCAAATTGCCTAAAAATAAGAAAGAGGGCTATATTTGGGTTTACCTTTTTCAATAATGTTTTCTCGTTTGTACACCGGGGTTTTCTTTAAAATCATTTTAATATGGGTTTATTACTTTTAAATCATGTTGTTAAATTCCTTTTATCTGTAAAATGGATTGAGGACTTATGAGACATTCATCCACATTCACTGATGGAAAGGTGACCAACATGGGCAGCAAGCACCACTTGTGGAAGCTCCTCCACTGCCTCTTGATGGAACTTCAGGTCTGCCCAGTTTGCGTGATGCAGAAATGCAAGGAACTGTTCTTTTTCCTCACTGACACCAAAAAGTGATAAATATTGGAGCATTATCACTTCAAATTCAAAACATTGCAGCTCTCTGAATGTAAAAATGAGGAACTATGTGGATAAAGCCAAGTGCCGTCCATTCCTAAGATTCTACAATTCATCCCCAGAACACCACAATTAAAATTCTCCAGCTCCACTCACAGTAACAAAATTGCGGCAGGCCAGTGCGCATGCACCCTCCACAGAGACTCCGGTCCTCGCTACTGCGCCTGCGTGCGGGAGGCGCCGCGCCCAGTCTGCGGGCGGGAAGGGCGCGGGACCCGGATGGAACCGAGCCCGGCCGGGCAGAAACTGCATCTCTGCGGCAGCGTCCGGCTGCGGCGCTCCTCAAGTTCCCGTTCTAGGGTCTGACCTTTGGAGCCGCCGCCTGGACGGGCTCTGACGTCCTGGTCCCAGGCTGAACAGTGAGCGGCTCTGGAGCCTAAAACGGCGCCAAAACGAAGCCCGAACGTCCTCCCGGGCCTGCGCCTCGGGCTCGGAGACCCGGCGGGCGGAGACCGAGCCGAGCCCGCCTTCCTCGCTGGCGACCGTAGCCCTCGGCCTGCGCCAAACTCCGCTCCTAATAACACCATCAGGCCCTGTCTGTTAGGAGCAGCGTGTTCTTTGCATGCATTCTCATAATTAAACCTCCCAACAGCCCTATAAGGTAGGTACTGTTCAACCCACTTGAGGAGTGGAAAGGTCCCAGCCTGTAAGTGACAAAGCCAAGATCCCAGACGTCTGCCTCTGGAACTGCGCAATCACCACATCCCGCCCCTGCTGTGGCTGTTGCTTTTAACTGTAAAATATGGTTACACCCTCTGCCTCCCCAACGCTGCTCCTACCATGGACTTGACTTGCACAGGCAGTGGCTGGATACCAGCTGAATTGTGTGTGGTTCAGGCTTACAACTCTACTTCAAGGTTTTCACGCCTATAACATCTTAGCATTTCCTAAATAGTTCTGTTACATGGACGTTCCCTTTTAGCAGATTATTTTTTGTGTTAACTATGGTACTTTTATGGTGCCCAAATTTGCAAAAAAAAATTTTACTTTGTTATATCAGATTCATTCAGCATCTTAAGATAGCGCCCAAAAGATTTTCAGACCTATTTTGAAAATGATATCTTCCTTAAAATAATGTGGGTTTTTCTTTTTTGTCTGTTTTACTTTTTTAAAATTTTTTTGTTACTTTTTATTACAGAAAACTTCCAACGTACATAAAAGTGGGAGTGGAAGTGGTATGATGTGTACACATCATCTGCTCCAGGCCAGTCTTACTTCTTTTTATCTCTACCCTCTTTATGTCTATATTTATGTGCTCAAGCACAGTACTTCAGAGGCAATCCCACATATCATTTCACTTGTTAATAATTCTGTATCTCTAACAAATGAAAAAATTTTTAACACAACCACAGTAACATCACATCTGTTTAAATTAATAATTCCTCATGATGATGGTTTTCTTAATGTTTACATTTTTTAGGGTATTGTTATTCCTAAATACCACAAAGGAGCAAGTGAAAATTGGGAGGTTCTAAAAGGCAAGAAAGCCACTTGGGCGGTAAGTTCATCTTTGAGGATCTTAAAAATTCTTGCTACCTATTTTCCCATTTGAGGAGAACAGAAAAGACTATAAGTGAATTTTTCTAAAAACTCTTTTGTTCAAAACAGGTATATCTTAAATTAAAAAGTGCTTGAGTAGCATGGTCAGGGTAGATAAGATGGACTCTTAACAGGTTCAGTAATGATTTCTAAGACTAAAACAAAGCTTTTTCCTTATTCCTTCCACCTCTCCAAATATATATAGTAAATATATATTACAGATATACAGGAACTTGGGCATTTTCATGCTGATATCATCATTACTTGCAAGTATTTCTAAACACAAATGGTCATATATATCATTACTTGATAAAATAAGGCCTTATGAACTTCAAAAGTTTTTTGAAGTTCAGGGTCAGTAGATTTCCCCCAATTCATAACAATTCATAACAACCATATAATAGGTCAACCTATTAGTAACAGAAGTACATTTTACAGCCAATCCACTAGAGAGCTACTATTTTAAGTAGTTGTTTTTATTGTGATGTTTTCTGTGGCCACAGTGATCATTTCTATTTAAATGTGTCCCCATTAAGTTATTTCAGCCACATTCTGGGACCTAGAACTTAGAAAACTTCAGGGATCATTTATTTATTGTGGAGATAGAATTGTTTTCCAAGGTCTTTTTGAGCCTACCTACAGAGACCTTTGTTCATTTGCTAAAGAGTAGGAAATGTAAAAAGGCATGACTTCCTTTTTTAGGTTTCTTCACTTTCATAGGTGGTTGTTCTCAACTCAGACAACTTAAATGCCTATTAAAGCAGTTAGACTATTCACTTGGCAACCTAGAATATATGTGAGCCAGAGATTGTCTTGAAGGAAATGTTTTCTTTCTTCTAAACCTGCGTACTTGCTCCAGTGTGCATCAGGATCACCCAGACAACTTTATTTAATTTTCTTTTGTTCTCCTTATGCAGGGGATCAGTTATTATTCTAATAATAATTAGGGACATGTATACTTTCAGAAGGATTCCCTGTGATTGATGGGCAGCTCTCATTACGATCACTGTTCTTTGTTATCTGCAGTGCTTATTTAGAATATAAATTCTAGACCCCTACTATAGAGCTAGAGAATCAGTATCTCTAGGGTTAGGGTCTAGGAATATTCATTTTAGCCATGAACCAGATGATTTCTCCATTTACTACAATAGAGAACCACTGGCCTTCTACACCCTGTCTTTGGTTTAAGACAAATCTTCTGAATGCTGCTTATTTACACCCTGTTATTTTGACTGCTTCTACTGAAGGGGTAGCTATATGGAAAAGCACCATGAAATTCCTTGCAGTTAAAAGTGTCCTCACGTGAGAGGGATTTTCCTAAAGTCTCATTAACTAGAATAGTTATGTTTCTCCTGAGCATGTTGCTTTGCTTTTATATATGGATAATATGAATCAACGATGAATATTTTGTTACACTTCACTTAACATCAGGGAAGCCTATCTTCATAGCCCACCTTTCTGTCAAGGTAGACTTCATCAGGCTTAAAAACCTATTTGAAATTCCTGCTTAAGTTGATGTCAAAGCTGCCCAAGGATCAAATAGTTTTACAAACGTGTTTAATCTGTAACTATTAAGAAACATTAGCCACCATGTCAAAATCTGCCCTTGCTTTGAACACTTGGTGAATTACTCCTTTTCTCTGTTATTAACTGAAGGTGTGCAAACATCTTTGGGTCAGGATAGAAGGAGCAAGCATCCTCATGAGGTGCCTTTTCTAGGTGATAAAAAATTAACCCCACCTTTTTGTCATAAACCTTACTGAAAACAAATTAAGCCATAACCACAATTTGTCAGTAAAGGATTCCTCATAACTTGCCTAAGCCCATATCTCCCTGCATGACTTGCTGTTAGGTCATTTATTCCAGGGCAGTTAACTCTGAGTTGCTGCCTTAAGTGGATTGTCCTGTTTTCAGGGCTTTCCTTCAGCTGACACATTATAGGATATTTCTTGACATGTACAGAATAGCATGTGATGCAGCTTTGTTTTCAGTTACCCACTGATGTTTTTTAATGTATGGGTTATATTTTACTCCTAAAGCAATTTTCTGTGGCATCTCTGGAATACTACCTGAGAATTCTTGTGTACCATGTCAAAGAAACGCAAGTGGGATGATGACTATGTCCGTTACTGGTTCACCTGTGCAACAGAGGCTGATGGAACTCAACGCCCACAGTGTGTGTTGTGTAACTCAGTATTTTCAAATACTGACCTTAGGCCATCAAAACTGTCAGACCATTTTAACAGACAGCATGGTGGTATAGCTGGACATGATCTCAGTGGCCTGAAGCCTGTGCCAACACCATCTGATAAGAGAGAAACCTTGAAGGCACTCGGAGTTGCGTCTCATGAGGATGCCTTATTACAAGCATCGTATCAGTTTGCATATTTATGTGCCAAAGAGAAGAATCCTCATACAATAGCTGAAAAATTGGTCAAACCTTGTGCACTGGAAATAGCCCAAATAGTTTTGGGACCAGATGCACAAAAGAAGCTTCAGCAAGTACCTTTATCAGATGATGTGATCCATTCTAGAATTGATGAAATGAGCCAGGATATCTTACAGCAAGTTCTAGAAGATATCAAAACCAGTCCTCTTAAGGTGGGTATTCAGCTTGCTGAGACAACTGACATGGGTGACTGCAGTCAGCTAATGGCATTTGTACGATATATAAAAGAAAAAGAGATCATAGAAGAATTCCTGTTCTGTGAACCACTGCAGTTAACCATGAAAGGAAAAGATGTGTTCAGCCTCTTCAGGGGCTTCTTTCTGAAGCACAAAATAGCACTTGATGTATGTGGCTCTGTTTGTACTGATGGTGCCTCCTCTGTG